AGGACTTCTCGATGCTTGCGGGGAGCAGTTATCCAGCACCTGCTGTGTACCTCTTCCCCAATCCTCCTCCCCAAAAGCATTTGGCTTCAGTACATCCTGTGAGCATTTGAGAGCCTGGCCCTCCGCCCTCGCTCCAAAGGCCTTGTCATCTAATGGATCTTGGGAGCATGTATTCAGTACCTGAAGTGTGCCTCCTTGAGGACCCATATCCTCAAGGTCTTTGGCTTCAATTACTTTTTTGAGTATTTATTGAGAGCCTGATATGTACCCTGTCTCCAACAACCCTTGCCCTAAGGTCTTCTCTCTAATGGATCTTGTGAGCCTGTATCCAGTCTGAGCTATGTGTCTCACCCCCAACCCCCTCTTCAAAGACCTTTAAACTATTCATTAAACACTGATTGAGTGCCTGCTGTGTATTCCACCCCAGACTCTCACCAAAAGCTTTGCCTTTAATGCGACTGTGAATCTTTATTTGAATGCCCTCTGTGTGCCCCAGCTCCAGGCTCCCTCTCCAATGACCCTTTCTCCCAACGGATCTAGGCAGCATTTATTAAGTGCCTACGGTATGCTCCATCCCCAATCCTCTTTCCCAAACAAATCCTTTTCCTCCAATGAGTTCCATGAGCATTTTTTTAACCTTCTGTGTGTGACTCATCTTCCGACTCTCTCCTCAAAGACCTTTTCCTACAATGGATCTTCTTGTTGTTGTTGTTATTTGCCGTCGACATTTATTGAGTATCCCCTTTATCCTCTGTTCTAAAGTTACTTTTTCAAAGACCTTTCCTCTAGTGGATCCATCTAGCATTTATTAACTGCCTGCTGTGTAAGCCCTCCCTGCAGGCTCTTTCCTCCAGCATACTCAGCAAGCATTAGTTGAGTGCCTGCTGTATACCCCATCTCCAAACCCTTTTCCCAAGGCATTTTCTTTCAATGAATTCAAACTGCATGTATTGAGCACCTTCTACATGACCCAACCTTTAAACCACAAAGGCCTCTGCCTCTCGTTAATCCAATAATCAGATATCTAGCACTTGCTGTGTGTCCCATTTCAATCCTTCTTTCCTTGTCATTAATTGCTCCATGGAGCATTTATGGAGTGCCTGCTGTTCACCTTCTCCACAAAAGCCTTTCCTCCTCCCATGGATGGAAAATCAAGCTTACATAGATCAAGTTTCTACATCCCTATTCCCCTTTCCCAAAGGACTTTTCCTCCAGTGGATAGTGAGCACTTATTAAGTGATTGTATGGTCAGTTACTACACCTTCTCCCCAGAGGCCATTTCTTTTAATGGATCCAGTGAATATTTATTCATCACCTGCCATGTGCTAGGCATTTTTCTCAAATGGCTCCTGTGAGGATTTATGGAGTGTGTCTTCTGTATGCCCTATCTTCATACCTCCTCTCCACAGTTCTTTTCTGCCAGTGGATACAGTGAACATGTACGCAGTGCCTATTGTGTATTGAGGAGTACACTCCATTTTATCATCCCTAGGAGAACCTCTCCTCAACGTCCTTTCCTTTGATAAATCCAGAGTCCAAATTATAGAGGTTACCCCTTTCCCATTCCCTTCAGCATCCCCCAGGATTTCCTCTTCCAACCTTGAATACATAATTCAAAGGGCCTTTCTACTATGTAAGCTACCATTTATTGAGCACTTTCTATATAAGAATCATTCCCATCTTCCCCTTTCCATGGCTGTCAAAATTCCTGCCCCTGCCTCAAGAGCTTTCTCCAAGGGTCAACTTCAACCTAAACTTATTGAAAAACAACTGCTTATTGGTTATATCACCTCTACTCCCAGGAGCCCTTACCCAACAACCTTTCCCTCTACTCAAACCCTCTTAATCATTCCACAGATTTTTTTTTTTTTTTGCATACTTTCTATGTGTCAGAGTGTGGGAAGTATTTGATAAACACCACTATATACTAGGAAGAATTCCCCTTTAGCTCCTCTTCTCTCTAATCTCAACCAGTGTCTGGCTTTCCTATCTATACCTTTTCCTCTATTCAACCCCACAATCATTTATTGAGCACTTATACTATACTCAGAATCCCATATTCAATGCCTCTTCTCCTCTCCCTCTTATCTTATAGCTCTAATTCCCCCTTCAACAGTCTCCATCCTGCCTTTCACACTACACAGTCCTAAAAACTCATAATGTGCACCCACTGTATTCTATCTAACCCCTCCTCCATTTAGTAGCCATCACTTCAACTTTTTTTTCCCCAGTTAATCTAGAAAGCACTTATTAATCTCCTACTCTATGCTGTTCAGGAGTCCCTGGGTGGTACAAATGGTTAATATGCTCAGCTGCTAACTAACAGGTTGGCGATTTGAGTCAACTCAGATGCATCTCGGAAAAAAGGCCTAGAGATATACTTCTGAAAAATCAGCCACTGAAAGCCCTGTGGAGCACAGTTCTACTCAGACACACATGGGTCACCATGAATCAGAATCGACTCTATGGCAACTGGTATGCTGTTCAAAGAATCACATTCCAATTCCTGCAATAAGCTCCTCCACCCTTCACTCCATCAATCTATAAAGCATTTTTTGAGCACTCGCTATAATTACTTCACCAACACCCACTCACACAGGTGTCATCTTCCTGGTTAAATTTGCTCCACTGAAGTCAGCAAACCTTAATGGGATTCCTGATGTATATTGGTAAACACCTCCTTTAGACTTCCTTTTTTCACTTCCCCCTTTCCAGGCAGGCTTTTGTTGCTTTTTCCTTTATTCCATGAGATATTTATTAATTATCTACTAAATAGTGATAAGTCTGTTCTTTTCTCATAATCGCAACTCAAATAGTTTTGATCTTCTAATCTGTCCAATAAGCATTTTATTGGGCACCTGCTGACATCAGTGAAAGATTTTTCCCTTCCCCTTCTGCATCCCAGAACCCTCCTTTTATTCTAGCAGCACCTCCAGTATTTTCTTCCACTCAATCTGGTAAATATTTATCTAGTGTCTACAATATGTGAGGTGAATTAGGCAACAGGAGAGAGCCTATGTACTTTAGTCCACTAATGTGGGCAACAGAGACCTCTGTATCACCAACTTGCAGATGTTCAGAATCATGACAGCTTTAGGGATTTCAACCTGGAGTAAAGGAAGTATTGTGCAAACTCTGTAATGGAGTGAATGCCAAACTATAGTCTGATGCCTTTCTCACCAAACTTCACTACGCTGATTCCATTCCAACTGAGGTGGTGTGGTCAGGGTTTTGTAGCCCTGCATCAATCATTGGCTGTAGGGTGCCCCCGGGAGGAGGCATAGTCTTGGGTCAGGCAAATTACAAATCCCTGCAAAGGACAATTCTCAGTTATGGACACAACTATAAAACTTCAGCAACAGATATTCCCAGAAACTGTGGGATAGACATGAAGACCTGAAGGAGAGGAGGAGGTTAGGATCTGAGCAGAGCATAGTCCACCACTTGTACTGCTCAGATCCATGTGCCTTTTGTAGTAAGTTCACCCCATCTGGGAATAGCATTTCCAGGATTTTTATTGCTCTTGTTTCCCAGAAGAAACATAAAAGAGCAAGATTAGTGGGACAAAGTATAGCTTCTGCCACTGCAGTTGATTTTAAGGTCACAAATATTCACTGTTTCATTCCTCTACTATACATTCTAGATTCCCCTCACCCTCAGCAAGTACCTTTGTTGGTTTCAGTGGCTTACCTGTTGGGTGATCCATTCCTTCATCCTTCAGGGGTCTGAGACCCTGGTCACTGTGCCACTCTTAGGCTGCTGCACTAGTACATTTACCATCAAAGTTGAGTGAGGAATACCAGAAGATGCTAAAATGGACCACCTGGGTGCCAAGCATATTCCTCCTTGCTCCCACTGTGTAGCAATAGCCCTACCTCCTGTTGATGATCAGAGTCAAGTAACCCTGGCACAACAATGACTCCTCTTCATGTTCTTTGGCATGAAAAACCTGAAGTGGCCAGGCATCAACCATAGCTTATGGTTTAATGGGTTTCTTGCTGTGTCCCCTGGTAGCAGTGTTCCCCCTTGGAGAACCAGAACCTCTAACCCTGCAGAACCCTGAGGGAACAGGAAGCACAAATTCCAAAAGTGGATCACTGAGAATGATGGTAAGCTTGGCCACTCCTCTTTAACTGCTGAGTTCTCAGACCCATGCATTCTACCTATTAGGAACACAGCACATACAATGGTCTTTGATTTAGGGTGTACACTGTGTCTTGTGAGATGGTGCGACATTCTTTCATGGTATCACCTCCAAGATGGGATCTTAGCTGTGATTTCAAGTTTTTCCGTTGCTCTATAAGGTCAGCAGCTTCTGGTTGGTGTGGTATGTGATATGATCAGTGAATTCCTTGGTTATGGACCCACTTTTGCACCTCCATTGCTGTAAATTTTTCCTTTGATATGATTCAGTGTTATGTAGGATTCCATGCTCATGGGGCAAGAACTCTGTAAGTCCTTGGACAGTGATGCTGACTACAGTCCTGCAGTCAGGAAAGGTAAACCCATATATAGAGTAGTCCAGTCAAAATGAATTACTAATCTTTCCAGGGTGGAAGTGGCCTGATGTAGTCAGTTTGCCACCAAGTTGATCTCTTTGAGAAATGGTGCCATATAAGGGATTCAATGTTGGTCTCTGCTGCTGACAAGTTGGACATTTGGCAATAATGCCATTAGCTGCACACATAGCCTCTATCTCTGCTACTGTTGCCACTTCATTCATGTGCCCATCTATATCACTGGGGTAGTTGATTATAGAGGTGGCTCACATTATCTGACTGACTCATTCTGTCTACCTGGTTGCTTAGTTCCACTTCCATGGTGGATACTGTCCAATGGTTGTTAAAATGCAGTACAAAGATCTCCATGCCTCACTTTTTGCCTACTCCCCTATGACTACATACATTCCTGTAACCCAGACCTTCTTGTCCTAATCTTCCAATATTTTTTTCTTCCAGGCCTATGACCAACCAGCCAAGCCATTCACCACTGCTCATAAGTGAATATATATTCTAATCTTGGGCCACTTCTCTTTCCACACAAAGTGGATGACCAGGTACACAGATCAAAGCTCTGCCCATTGGGAGCTCTGCCACTGTCTTTCAAGGTCACTCCAAGTGGGGCTGTAGTACAGTCAATATCCATTTTTGTCTTCCACCCACACACCAAGTCAACCCATGTATAAACAAAGCTTAAGCTTTTTCCTCCTTCATCGCTGGTTGTAAGGAATCCCTTTAGTGAGCTGAGGGAGAGCCACTAGTGCAATAGTTGTGGAATACATGGGTATCTGGGTTACCTGCTCATGCAACTTGCTTGGACCTGCATGGGCTTGATCCTGGAAGCTGCACCTGTCTGAATTTATTACTTGGTGGGTCTGGCAAGACCCAGCTCATAATGGGCAGTTTTGGATGCATAGTCCTTATGGTGCCTTATGGTCAAGCATTCTTTCTCCACCAGGGACCAGTACTGCACCAGGACTTGTTTCTCAGAAGGGATATAATTCTCTGCTGCAGATGACATGGCCTTGCTCCAGAACTTCAAGACCTCCCACTCAGATTTCTCATAAGCTCAATACTGCATCTTTTCCCATTACTAACACCTCCAATATCATAGGATCTGCCAGATCACGTAGCCTAAGTGGCAGGGATGCTTGCACTGGAGCCTCAACCTGCTGCAGAGCCCTTTTCTGCTCTGGGCCAACTAAGAGCTGGCATCCTTACATGTCACCTGATACATGAACCAGAGCAGTATTTCCAGGTGTGGAATTTGCTGCCTCCAGACCCCGAGGAGGCTTACCAGGTGTTGGGCTTTTTTTTTTTTTTTTTTCATGATGGGAGATGCAAGATGCAATAATTTGCCCTGTTCTTTGGAGGGGATATCTTGGTGTGTCCTGGACCACTGGATCCCTAAAAATTTTACTAATGTGGCAGGTCCCTGAGTTTTCATAGGGCTTATCTCCCACAATCATGTGTCTTACCAAGACAATGTGCTAACCATCTCTTGCTCATCTTGCCCAATCACCATGATGTGATCAATATAGTGGTCTAGTGTGATATTCTGTGGGATGTCCAGATGCTCCAGGTCCCTTTGGATTATATTATGACACAGGACTAGTGTTAACATAGCACGATGGCAAGACCATAAAGGAAATTGTTGTCAGTCCAACATGAGTGTGAATTGGTCTGATCCTCCTTTCTAATCAGAATAGAAACATTTGCTACATGATTGGCCACATGTCATGTACATGTACCTGAGATTTTATTAATCTGCTCTAGCAATAATACCATGTCCAGTACTGCAACTACAATTGAGTTTGCAATAGTCTACAGTCACTTTACAGGATCCATCCCATCTCCTCAGTGGCTAAACTGATAAATACAATGGAGATTTGATGGGACCAACATTCTTACACCCTCTAGACCTTTAAGAGTGGCACTAACTTCCATAACCCCTAGGATACAATACTGTTTTGTATTTACTGTTTAGATTAGGAGGGGAGGGCAGTTTCAGAGGCTTCCATTTGGTCTTACCCTATAGGTCAAAGGGTTCTGACAACTACAAATTATGTCCATTCCAATTATGCATTTGTGAGCTGGGGAAGTAGCTACTGAGTATATCTATGGGCCCAATGGAGCCACTGTGAGCAGGACCTGGGCCAGAACTTCATTTATTACATTTCCCTTTCTGTGTTTCTCAACATTTCTGGTGCCATTCTCATCAGCATATTCCCTATTGCTTTGTTAAGTTGTACATATCCTCTGAGTCCTCCTATAGAGCAGAGTCAGCTAGTGGGGTTTCCAGACTTCTATAGTGTATCTACTCTAGCATGTCTGTTTCTCTGAGCCCTTTTATCCTTTCCTCCACGTTCTACCATGGAAGTTTTGGCATTTTTGTTAACATAGTGTGGTCCAATGTTTTTTCCAAGCTTTCAAGAGTCATCCTGGCAGTGTATTGGCACCATCTCCTAGGATCCTTGCCAAGGTTTTTAATTCTATACCCTAGGAGAGTGCTGCAACTTTATGTTCTACCCCCTGGATCTACTGTCTTCAGGATTCAGTCCCATGCATTCTTTCCCAGCTACTACCAGTACATATTAGCCAGATTTTTCAGTTCCTTCTACATACAATTCTTCTTTTTCCTTTGAAAGCCTAGATTCTCTCTGGAAAGGTGTGCTAGGATTGACCCTGTTTGCCAGGAGAGGAGGTAGAAGTAGATTCTGGCATGGGCAAGCATCATCTTATAAGGCACCTGCTTCATTTGAGGCCTCTGTATTATCTTCAAGCAGAGGGAAGCACTATATTCTAAAAAGGGAGACTGGGCTACTTCTGTATGCCCAGTGGGCTCAGGTGAATCAGTGAGTTCAAGATCTTTAACTGCTTCTGCCCAGATATCCCTAGCCCAACTTTCAGGGTCCCATTCCTTCCCTATAAGACCCTAAGCATGGCACAGAAGATATGCTAGGCCTGATAACTGAACTTTCTCTGAATCTCTGCTACATTTGCAATTAAGTCCTGAGCCTGGTGCTCCCTTCTCTCTGTCCTCTGGCTGTAGGAGATTAGAGTTTCCTTAAATGCAGCCCAAAGAGGGCCTCTGGTTTGAAATGATGATTGATTATTCACCCTGAACAGGTCATGTCATTTTTCAGCTAATCAGTGCCACTTAGCCAATAATCACCCAAGTCTGGTTGCCACTTTCCTGATATCTGTTGAATGCTGGGGATATTTCACCAGAAAATGAATTCCCTTCCACTGGTATCCCATTATAATGCCTGTTAAATGCACTACTGCTGCAGAACCACAGGGACCTACATTGTGATTCTCCCACGTGAGCTTCTCTTAAACACCACACTACATCTTTTCCTACTACTGACACCTCTAGTATCATAAGATCTGCCAGATCATATGGCCCAAGTGGCAGGCTGCTGTGTCATAGCCTGGAACTGCTGCAGAGCCTTTTGCATTGCTACAGCATGCCAGGGGCTATCAGTGCTCCACCTCCCCCCAGTAATGGAACCTCATTGCCAACTGGCTACGGGGTGATCCAGCTCCTGACTCAGCGACCCCTCCTTGGGTTTCCGAGGCCTTATCTCTACGGACATAGATTGCCCAGTCTTCCTTCTGAGGAGTGGCTGGTGGATTTGAACCACCAGCCTTCTAGTTAGCAGTCAAATGCCTTAGGCACTATGCCACCAGAACTCCTAGAATTGCATTAGAATCTGCTTTTTAGTTTCACTTCTCTTGCCCACTGTTTTGGTTTGGGTTCCCTGGAAACACTTTGAGGAAGAATTTTACATGCAGGAGGTGTATTGGGGAGTACCTTTGGGATAAACACCTATAAGAAAAGGAGAATTGGGCAGAGGAAGAAGCTGACCCCCAGTGAGGTTGCATCAGAGGTCTCAGCTGATCCTATGGGGAGCTCTGGAGTTGTGAGGGCCCTTCAGAGTCAGCCCATATCAAGGCAAGAAAGCTGGCCTTTATACCTCTTCATAGCTCTAGTGGCATAATGCCTAAGGCATTTGACTGCTAACCAGAAGGCTGGTGGTTCAAACCCACCAGCCACTCCTCAGAAGGAAGACTGGGCAATCTACTTCCATTGAGATACTGCCTCAGAAACCCAAGGAGGGGTCACTGTGAGTCAGATTTGACTCGACGACAGTGAGTTTGGTTTTTGGCTTTTTATAGACTAGAAATAGGCCATGGGCTACCCTCAGAAAGTAAATTCAGCCTTGACCATGGCAATTCCCTGTGACAAGTCCCAGTAGGGACATAGCTGTGATAACTAGTGGGGTTAACAGCTGACATTCCCAGCAGCTGGGGGATGGATGCATTATCCCTGAATAAGAGACTATAAGTATCACACGTGATCAAAGAAAGTTTGAAAAACAATGATATACTCTGAACTCCTCATCATTTTATAGACTAAAAATGTATGGATCTGAGAGAAATTATTTTTGACACTTGTGAGGGGACAGTGTCAATGCGATTTGTGTGTGTGTGGGGTGTGTGTGTGTGAGAGAGAGAGAGTGAATAGCTGTATTTGGGATCTTTTGTGTGTATCAGTGATGTTGCTAGGGCACATTTGTGCTATGTGTATGTGTCATAGACTCTGTGTTCATGTCAGTGACCCTGGTAGTGTCTCCTCCTGTTACCGCCCGTCCATGAGAAACCTGATTGGGCATGAGGCTCTGTCTGTGGAGGAGCCTGTCAAGAAAAAATCTTGGGCTTCGAGGAGGAGTGCACCAGAAACAGCCCAGCTGCAGATGGGCCCAGGGACAGTGACATAGCAGTTCATGATGTGTTTACTACTGCTCCTATTCTCTTTCCCTCCTCTAGTGTCCCCTTGACCCCAGCTGCATTCCCTCCCCCACCTCTATCAGTGCTGTTTACAGCTTCTTTAGAAGCACACCAACCTGCACCCCTCAATCTGTTTCTCGTTTTCTGAAACTGCTGCCCACCCATGGCTGTTGTGTCCCTCACAGCACACAACACATGCGGGGAATGTGCTACCTCTTGGGAAAGGGCCAGAGAACAGAGAGATGCTTCAAGCTACACAAGCACTGAGACATTCACAGGTACTGAAATACACACAAACACAAGCACACTTCCTTCATATATATAATATATATATATATATATGTATGTATGTATGTATGTATTTTACAAGTTCTTTGGCATTTAAAACCTTGCAATTTCAAAGTCTGTTATAGTTTTCAAAGCAATACTCAATCTTGTGAAGCTTTTCAACATTTATGGTAGCAATGTGACTAACAGACCATACTTTGGAAAATGCCTGCCTCCATGGTTTAAGGAAGTATTTTACATCTTGAAGTGTCCCTTGACATTCACACACCTTTATGTGAATTACAACAGACTTTGTTTACAAGGCAGTATTAATTTTCCAAGTATTTCAACAATTATAAAGCACTTTATGGTTTCTGCAGTGGCACTGAGGGACAAATGTAGGGGATCAAAGGATCAACGTGGGCTTTGTTTTCCTTCCTTAGATTTGAGTATTGACAGATGTGCTTTGCTTTTCCTCTCCAGGGCAAAATACTTCAAAGGCAAAAAAATCCATGGAGAAATTGACATTAAAGTAGAACAGGTTAGTTCATGCAGGTGGAGCTGGGGGTCAATTGTCCAGACTGCAAACTGGGTGGTCATTTTGTGTGACATGGGCAAATCATTGATTCGCTCCCCTTCCCAGGCTGAATTCTCTGATCTCAACCTCGTGGCTCATGCCAATGGTGGATTCTCTGTGGACATGGAAGTTCTTCGGAATGGGGTGAAGGTCATGCGGTGAGTATAAAAAGGATACCTCGGTGTTCTGGAAGAGGCATAAGAACACCCTTAAAGCTGATGGAGGCTCCCCCACTCACCCATCTGTGAGCAAGAACTTAGGCACAGAATGTAGG